TTGTTTTCTTCAGAATACATAAACTGCATTTAATTTGATAAAGTGATGTAATACTGGCTGATGCACCAGAATTTGATTCTTGTGTAATTTTGGATCGTATTTCATAGCTGGTACAGCTATGAAACATCTGGTGAAATTATGCAATTGTGGAGGTTTGGTTTGGTGGGGTTTTGGTAGCAGGGGAAGGGCAGCAGGAGTGACTCCTGTAAGAAGCTGAGAAGCTGCCCCTGCTCCAAACCCAGCCAAGGAGCCATTAGAGGGACAAGAGATGCACCTCTGTGATTAACATATGAAAGAAATGAGAGAACTGAGATAACACCTGGGCAGAGTGAACAGTTGGAGAAAAGAAAAACTGTGCTGGTGAGGCTGGTGTTTGGTGAGGAAGAAGGAGCAGAAGGTGCCCAAGCAGAGGTTTCCCTGCAGCCCATGGCGAGATGGCAGCTGTGCCCCTGCACTCATGGGGGAACGTGGTGGGACATTCCCTGAAGGCGCCAGGAGGGAGGAACTTGGTGGCTGTTCCCGAAGCCCCCGTGACTCTGTGGGAAGCCCAGGCTGGAGCAGCTCCGGGCCTGGTGGGAAGGGCTCAGGAAGGAGAGGTTCCTGGAGGACTCTCTGCCATGGGAGGGACCCCGTGGGGAAGCAGGGCAGGACTGTAAGGAATCCTTCTTCCTGAGGAGGCAGGAGCAGCAGGAACCACCAGCCTGTGAAGTGACTCCAAACCCCATCCCCTGTCCCCCTGTGCTGCTGGGGGGAAGGAGGGAGAGAAACCGGGAACAGAGGGATTTGGGCCCGGGAAGAAGGGAGGGGTGGGGTAACATCTGCAAGCCCTGCCCTGTCTGTGTCTGTGTCCTGGGTGTGTTTGATTAGTGTGAAATTAAATTATTATTTTTCCCCAAGTTGAGTCTGTTTTGCCCAGGACCTTAATGGGTGAAGAACCTTCTTGTCCTTTGTCTCGACCCAGGAGCTTCTAGTTGGCCTTTGTCCTCCTCACCCCAGAGTGTGTGTGTGGGGAGCTGAGTGAGCGGCCGTGGGGCTGCTCCTTTATTGCGTTGGGCCCAAACCACAACAGCAATAAAGGATTTTGTTATTCTTTGCTTCAGATTGTCAGAGCAAAGATAATTTTAGTTTTCAAGTGTATATGAGCTTTATATATTTCTGCAATTATATCTTTTTCCCTGTGTTTTCATTAAGAAATCGTGTTTCACGTATGGAACTAATGGTACTTATTTTTGTTCATCAGTGCTTTGAGAAAGGCTAAAGAGCTTGTTTTTTATCATTAACTGGATTTTATTCTGAGTGAAATCTCATGCTTTTCTCCCCTTTTAAAACTACTTCTTTAACAATATTATCAACAGTGATATTAAAATGCAATATGCAGTGTCATATTTTAGGCAGTCATACTGGATTGAACTGTAATTAATTGCTGTTGCTGAATACACTGTGGTCCTTATTCTCCTTTCATACTCTAGCTTTTCTTTGTGTGTAATAATTCCATCCTGGAAAAAATCTAATTACAAAGATAATTAACACCTTATCACCAAATGGATTTTAGACATTTGTAGAGTTTATGAATTTTTAAAATATGTAATTTACTTTTAACTGAATGACAACTGGTGTTATGGAGAAGAACATATTTTATTTTATCTGTCTTGATTGAACCTTAGAATTCATGTTGCTATAGAAACAACCAAACCTTTATAAAGGATAGTATTACTACTACCATTGGTAATAAATTATTTGACTGTTGCCAATAGTGTCATTAAAATGGTTGAAATAACTTCATTTAAATGGTTTTGTCAAACATAATGAATGCTCTGTTCATGATCTGAGAAATTGCAGCTGACATTATGTGATACTAATTTATAAAGTAATGTACTTTTTCCTCCAGAAGCTTACTATTAATGCACAGATTTGTAATGTGAATAAAATCACATTGCAGAATATAGTGCTCATCTGCTTACTCAGTCCTTAAAGCTAATGAATGTTATTGTTACCTGATATCAAGCAGAACTTCGTATCTTGCAGTTTGTCAGCCTTAAGAAGAAAGCAATGGCAATTGAGGCTGTTTAGCCACCAGCTCTCAGGATTTTTGCTGTTCTGTGCCATATTCAGCTTATGCTTCCCAATTATTACTGGGCTAAGTCCTTGAAAATGTTCAGTTTTATACTGGTTCGATTTGGCATTCATATGCCATGTTTTAACTTCATCTCAAATGATGGAGTCTGAATTTGTGAACCCAAAAAGGAATTGAAAGAATTTATTTTTCATAAGGAAAAGGTAAAATAATATTCTAATAATAAGATGTGTAATAAATTCCTGTGCAGCTAACTATATATTCAGGCATATGTAAAAAGGAGGCCCAAGACATTTCCTTTAATGTAAGTGCATTGCCAACACTTAAATAAATTTTTACATTAAAAAAAAGTCACAAAAGAGATTTGCTACCATATACTGTTTGTATGTGTATATGAAAGCCTCTGTGGTAAATATAAGCTGTGCATGATCTAATACTTCACCTCATCAAATTACTAAGAACAATATTCTCTGCTTCCCCTTTCTTGGGTTTTTTTGCCAGCAGATTCTCCTGTTCAGTACAGTTCATTGTTGCAGGAAGTTTCTATTTCAGATATTAAGATTTTAGTTTCTTCACTCACTGTAACCACAGCATTATTTTTTCTGTGATGTGCTGTCTAATAAGAAATTATTGTTCTCTTTGGCCATTCAAATTTTTTGTAAGAGTGACTTGGATTGCATGTGTTTGTATTTACAGTTCTGCTGTTTCTTGTTCTGATGAGGGGAAGAGAAGCCTTCCAGCCATTTCCTTAGGTCGGATTTAGTCTTGGAGACCCCTTCTTAAGCTCAGATGTGAGCTTTGCTTGTGGCAGTGGTCTTGTGCCCTGCACCCCTAGAAGAAGCTGTCTCAGCTCTTCCCTTGCCTGTAGCCTACTCAACTGTAGAATTAGTTTGGAAGGAAACTCTGGAAGTGTCAGTTATTTCCCCCACTTGAAGCAGGGTCGGCTTTAAGTCAGATACCACCAATATCATTATAAGGTTCTTATTTTTCCTTACAAATAATATTTTCTCCAGTTCATCATTGTTACTGATAGTGTAGAATCAATTGTGTTGTAGATACATCTCTGTTGTTAGGGAGTACTATAAATTTCTGCCTCTCTGCAGAGGAGATTTATCATAATTCCCACTTAACACAAGCAGGCTGAATACAAAACAGTGCTGTGGTTTCCCAGTTTCTCATAGGGCAGTGGTCATCCAGCCAGCTAGCATCAGGTTTTGAAAACTGAGTTGGTATCTCCTGGGTCCCATGGAATGCTCTATAAGTACCATGCAGTAAATTTCTTGGTTGTAGGACTTACTCTTCTGGGTCACGTCACAGAATGAAAAAAGGGCTGAGATTGGAAGGGATTTCTGAGGTCATTTTGTCCACACACCACCACCCTCTCACCCCCACTTAGGGCAACCTAGAGCCAAGTTACCCAGGACCATGTCCAGACAACTTTTTAACATCTCCAAGGAGGGAGACTCCACAACCTCCCTGGGCAACATCTGCAGACAGCAAACCTCTCTAGATGGTTGATTAGGTTGACAGGTGGATGCCAGTGTCCTGCATAGTAGGGAGTCAGTCACCCATTGCAATGACTTGTTGCTTCCGCCTGGTAGTCTTGTGTGGTTTAGGGAGAAGGTGGACCAGATACTTTGCTTGTTGGCATATCTGGGTCATTTTTTACTTTGAGGGTGGCAAGCCTGTTTTGCAGTTGTAAGTTCTTAGGTGGGGCAAGATCCTTGGTGTCAGAACTCACCAGCTTCCATAATTCCCCTTATCCAGAGGTTTTGCTTGCCTCAGCAATGGGGGTTGACACTACTTGCTTCTCTGTTGCAGATGGGGGCTGAGGCTCTTCAAGCTGTTGAGCTGCAGAGAAGGTCCAGTCTATCTCCCTTTCTACTTGTCTGATGCTGCTCAGCTTGCTAACTTCCTCATATAACTTCTCTGCTTGGAGACACAGCTCTTTCAAGACACCACAGCTACTGCGGGCCAGAGAGACATCTCTCCTGGCATTAGAGAGAGCTTCCAGGGTCTCCCTGCAACTTGGGACTTGGAGGGCTTCATCCACTATCTCAGTCTGGGTGCAAGCCTCAATCCTAGCAGGGTTGGCTACTCCAACATCTACTGAGGAAAATGCTCAGTGACATGTTTCTAAGACTATCACGGTGGCACAGCACAACTGAAGGCCCCTGCCTTCACCTCCATCCGTGCACTCCGCTGCGCTCACTGCTGCCTCTCAGCTGTCCTCTCTTAAGCTGCTGTGTGAAAAGTGTTCTGTGTATTCAGCCCAAGGGGAACAGTGGAAATGTTGACCTTGCTAAATAACAAGAGATCTCTCAGTGCCTGTGCATTTGTAAACTATTTTATTTTCCTTTTCAAGCAAGTCATAAGCTGATTTTACAAAGTGCTGAGTTAGAAATTAACTTGTGACTAAAAGATGTCTTATTGGCTCCAAAGCCAATTTTGTTCACATCTTCAAGGTTATGCATCATGCCAGTCCCCTCTTCTGGATATCCTTTTCTACTTTGGTAGCAGCACTGTAATGCATTACATAGTTTACAAATTCTAGTGGCTAAGTGTCGTAAGTTATATATTTTGTGGATTAAGCAGTAAGAATTCAAGAAAATCACAAGCTCTGCTGATCACCTATAATTTTGAATGAAGGAGAAGTTGGTCCAGATATTTTCACTCTTCTGTCACAATCCTAATCTAGTATTTTTTGTAGTGTCTGTCTTCCATGTGCTCTTGACTGAGTAGAGTACCAAATATATTTTTCATTATCAAGCAATGGTATTAAAATCTTACTATTTTTCAAGGAACATTTTAGGTCTCAGTTTCTGCTGATAAAGTTGAAGAGCTGTAAGTCTATGTACGCTAGCTTTTAAGGGAGCAAGATATTTGCATGTCCTTAGTTAAATGTTCCTTTCTTCTGTTTTTACAGAGTGCCTGGAATAACAATTGCTACAGACATCATCTGTGGTTTTCCAGGAGAGACAGATGAAGATTTTCAAGAAACAATGAAACTTGTAGAACAATACAAGTTTCCAAGCTTGTTTATTAATCAATTTTATCCACGCCCAGGAACCCCAGCTGCAAAAATGCATCAAGTTCCAGCTGCAGTGGTAAGATCTATTTTCTTGTGCTTGTGTGCACATTGTACTCAGATGTCTTTAAATACGTAAAGCACATACATGAAAATGTAGATTTTCTGCAGAACTACGCTACAATTCAGTTAAAGTTTTTTTCAGTCCAGTAAGTGCAATCATAGAATCATAGAATCCTAGGGGTTGGAAGGGACCTTGAAAGATCATCTAGTCCACCCCCCCTGCCAGAGCAGGGTCACCTAGAGTACATCACATAGGAACGCATCCAGGTGGGTTTTGAATGTCTCCAGTGAGGGAGACTCCACAACCTCCCTGGGCAGTCTGTTCCAGGGCTCTGTCACTCTTACAGTAAAAATTTTTTTTCGGATATTCACCTTGAACCTCCTATGCTCCAATTTACACCCATTACCCCTTAAGTGCAATGATTGTTGAATTGTCTTTACAAGTTTGCTGGATCACTGAACGCATTTTAATCTATAAATTACTGTTGAGATTGTTAGGAACGGTAAAATAGTGGTTCTGCTGAAGTCGTGTCTTCTTTCTACCAAGTTTGGGCTGAATGGGTACCAGGAGTGGTAGCTGACTGCTTATGCATTTTCTTTTTTTTCCATTTTAAGTCTTTTGTGACTCCAACAATCTTGGCTTATTATGAATATGCAAAGTATTAATAATAGATCAATTATAATGTTTGATTTATTTGTGAAATATCGAATTTGCAGGGAGCTTCTTCTCAAGACTCTCCTTATACACTGCTTATAAACTCTGCTGCTTTCAGCCTGCATGTTAAAGGCCATTGATCAAGTTGGCATTTGATCTTTCAGTTTGAGGTTCTCCTCTCCTTTCTCCTTTTCCCTTTTCCTTCTCTTTCCCCTTCCTCCTTCCTTTTTCTTCCCCCTTCCCCCTTCCTTTCTCTTCCCCTTCTGTTCCCTTCCTCCTTTGCTTCCCCCTACCCCCTTCCCCCTTCCC